CTGCCGCCATCAGCCATTGATAACACTACAAATAACTTACAACTAATTCGAAAAGGAAAGAAATTGATCTTCACCAACTAGATAAACCAGCAAAGAAAATGAATTTCTTATTGATATTGAATCAATCAATATCCATAATTTGCTGAGTAGATTGATATTGGCTCCAGAATTTTGCAATTCAATTATATTTTCTAAAGAACAAATGACTACCTTTTGAGTTCTTTTAAAGCTTGGTCAGCTCGAGCTTGTTAGTATCACTAGAGGCCTGCAGTTGATGATCTCTCTATAAGAGCCTTATGCTTCTTCTATTGACTAACATAAACCACAACCTTTCCAGATCCAGAGAAGGCGGTGTGTGCTGTTACGGGGCTACCAGCAATGTAAGTCCTGACAATCATAATTCACTGAAATTGTATTTCATTTTATTGCATTCAATCAGGCATGTGAAACCTCTCTTTATTCTGTTAGTTTGTCATCATTAGATCATTAAACGAGTTACACCAACTACTAACTACATGCAATGTCTGTTCATCTTTGTGACTCCTTTGTGTATCTCTTACACCTTACAATTCATTCAACTCAATTGAATATATGCTGAAAAGAAATGATCGTTACACCTCAATTAAGATGTTTGAGTATATTTGGACAGAAAATTGTGTTTGGAAATGCAGATGTGGAAGCTTTTTCTTATTCTCCTTTTAAATCAATCAAGATATGTCCCCGAAGCAACTATTCAAATGTTGCATTAAGCTTTATATATAACTCATTCTTTTCTTCCTGTTGCATGCTTGTTCTCCCTTGTTCTGTCCATCTCTAGCATCAAACTACTTTTTAGCAAATATATGTATTCACCGTGGTTTATGCAGTTATCGTGATCCAAATACGGGTTTACCTTATGCAACAAAAGAAGCATTCAAGACCATTCGTGAACGGTAAGACTTCTTGTATGTATGAGTTTATCTTGATTGCCTCTGTGATATCTTTTCACTTACCGTTACATACACACCAAGATCTAGTGAGAATAAAATGTTTTAGTTTGCTCCCAAGTCCCAACTGTCCATTGATTTTT